GGGGGGGGGGGGGGGGGGGGTGGTTCCTGCAGCCACAAGCAGAGGTGGGCAGGATCGGCCAGCCTGCTTCTAAGCAGACAGATCTTGCCCTCCAGGCCCCTCAGCACAGGCCAGGGCTGGCAGGAGGCTGCTCACTGCTCTCACCTCCTCCCAGGGGCTCCCACTGCCCCTGGCATCACATCGCACAGGTATCACTATTCCTGCCTGCCCCCAGCTCAGGCCCAAGGAAGCATTTCAGGTTTTTTCTGGAACCTCTGATCCTGGTGTGTGTCTGTGCACCTAATAACCAGCCCTGTGGCCCTCCTAAGTCAAGACTCTGGGGTCTGGGGAAGCCCTTGGCAGGAACCTAGCGCATGGTTGGCACTTAAGAGACTGAGGTACAGGCAACCAGGAGGGCGGTGTGGGTCTCCTCCCATCCACTTTGGGACCCTGGGGACTCAGGAATCCCAACCCCGTGGCAGCTGTCCTTGGCCCAGCATGGCAGGTCCCCACAGTCCCCATGTTGTACAGGAATCTTAGACTCTCCCCCACATCAGGGTCCAGCAGAAGCCCCTGGCTTTGTGATACCTGGAGACGGGCCAGGTGAACTTGGCTTCCAGAACACCAGACCCTCCCAGGGTGAGGGCAAGGGGCAATTCTGTGTGAAGAAGATACTCAGGACTTGTCTGGGCTGGCCCATCAGCATGGTGGGAGTGCACACAGGCCTACCTACCTGGGGGGACCATGCATGGGCAGCTTCTGATCCCTGCGTATGTCCTGCCCTTCAAGTGCAGTAGAGTCGGGAGGGTGGGGGTGCTAGCACGGCCTGGCCCCCAGCCCCATCACACAGCCACTCCTTGTCCCAAGGTGGGCCCAGGCCAAACTGCACCTGCCTGTGAGTAGGAGGGTCTGTAGAGCTCCCGGCACCCTGGGCTTCTGGATTCAGGCCCCACTGACCCACCTGGTCTGTTGCAGTGAGAACGAGGCCCTGTGGAGGGAGGTGGCCAGCCTGCGGCAGAAGCACGCACAGCAGCAGAAAGTCGTCAATAAGGTGGGGATGGGGACGGCAGCCGGGGTCCCCTCTGTGGGGCCAGACTGGGTTGACTGTCCTCTCTGCCCTGCAGCTCATTCAGTTCCTGATCTCGCTGGTGCAGTCAAACCGGATCCTGGGGGTGAAGAGAAAGATGTGAGGCTCTGGGCATGCCTGCACCCTCCACACTGGACCCACGGCCGTCCCTGTCCTCTGTCAGCTGTGTCCTGGGTACCACTGAGGGCCCGGGGAAGGCAGCTAACCCCACCCCTTCCCCACAGCCCCCTGATGTTGAATGACAGCAGTTCGGCACACTCCATGCCCAAGTACGGCCGGCAGTACTCCCTGGGGCACGTCCATGGCTCAGGCCCATACTCGGTGAGCACCAGGCAGGGCAGGATTGCCAGGTGTGTGGCACAGGCGGGTGGGGGTGCTGCTGCCACCACACATGCCACATGTGGCCCCTGCCTCTGATTGCAGGCCACGTCCCAGGCCTACAGCAGCTCCAGCCTCTATCCTCCAGACTCTGTCTCCAGCTCCGGACCCATAATCTCTGACATCACTGAACTGGCTCCCTCCAGCCCCTTGGACTCCCCAGGCAGGAGCATAGATGAGAGGTGGGGGCCACGTCACCCCGTCAGCCATCCTGTACCCTGCTAGGCGAGCTCTTGTGGGCCCAGGGCAGACTTGGGAAGGGGTGGGGCCAGCTGAGGCTCCTGGTAACGTGTCCCCCCTGCACCGTGTCCAGGGCCCTATCTAGCAGTCCACTGGTGCGTGTCAAAGAGGAGCCCCCTAGCCCACCACGGAGCCCCCGGGTGGAGGAGGCAAGTCCGGGACACCCGTCCTCCGTGGACACGCCTCTGTCGCCGACTACCCTCATTGACTCCATCCTGCGAGAGAGCGAGCCTGCCCCCGCTGCCTCAGCCACAGCCCTGGAGGATGCTGGGGGCCACACCCCATCACCCTCACCTGCCTCTGCCCCAGAGAAGTGCCTCAGCGTAGCCTGCCTGGACAAGTGAGTTCTGCCTTCACCACAGCCCCTGAAATGCAGCCCTGGGCTCTAGCTCAGACTGCAGTACCCCTGGAACCTGGGGCTGGCTGAGTGGGGCAAACCTGGCCCCAACCTCAAAGCTTGGGGCCGGGGAGGGAGGCAGGTTCTGACCAGATCAGCCCCCAACCCCCAGCGCCGCGGGAGCCAAGGGGGCAGGGCAGGCTGGGAGCTCCTGTTCCTCACCACCTTACTACTGTCATCACCCTCTCCTGCGACAGGCCACAGGGTCCTTGCATCTGCCATGCTGCCCTGCCCCAGAGGCTGAGGGAGCGAGGACGGTGGGCACAGAGCCTGCCCGGCCCCCGCCTGCAATGGGGGGCTCTTGTCTTTGTATCTTACAGTTTGGCTCGCACTCCACAGATGTCTGGGGTCGCCCGCCTCTTCCCCTGTCCCTCTTCTTCCTCTCTGCATGGCCGAGTCCAGCCAGGGTTAGCGCTGCCCCCACTGGGGAGGGGAGGAGGGCTCCGCCAGCACCCGGGCCCCTCCCGCAGCTGCGGACCAGACTCTGTCCTGGGTGTAAGCATATGGCCCTGCCTGGTGACCACCGTCAGGCCCCTCTGCACTGGGGGAGGGCCCGCCAGGCTCTTTATTTTCACTGACTCCCAGGCGCGGGCCAGTGGACCAGCTCATTGACTGACAGGGACAGGCAGGATCCGGGTAGCTGTGCTGATTGAGCTGCTTCTCACAGTGGGGTGGGCCCCAGGCACCTCCGGAGCCAGCCCAGCTGCCCATCGATGGCCCAGGCGTGCCTGGTGGCCCAGGGCCTTCTTGGGTCTCACCTGCACAGCACCAGGGCAGAGGCTAACCCACCACACACAGCATAGCTCCCTCTGCACTCCTTTGTCTTCCAAATCCCCAGCAGCCCTCATATTCCCCACTACTGTGGTGGCCCTGCCAGAGTCACCACTGGGGCCCCACAGTCCTCATGGTGACGTGGGTCGAGCCGCATCTCTGTTTCCCCAGCCATCCAAGCACACTGTCCCCCCAGCCCATGCTGGGTGTGCTAAGGGGCCCCACTGGGGGGAGCACCGCCAGGGGGCCCTTCTGCAGCAGGAGGGCATCTGGATGGGGTGGTCCCAGGCTCTGGTTCACCTGTCCACTCACCCCGGGTCAGGAATGAGCTCAGCGACCACTTAGATGCCATGGACTCCAACCTGGACAACCTGCAGACCATGCTGACCAGCCACGGCTTCAGCGTGGACACCAGTGCCCTACTGGATGTGAGTCCTGCCCACTCCGCCCCCCACCTCCACCCCCAGGCACGGTCCTGACTTCCCTCCTTCCTCTCACAGCTGTTCAGCCCCTCGGTGCCCGACATGAGCCTGCCTGACCTTGACAGCAGCCTGGCCAGCGTGCGTAGGCAGGGAGGGGCGGGGTTGGAGAGGGCAGGGCTGGGGGACAGGGACCAGCAGGAACCCTCACTGTACCCTCCACCCTACAGATCCAGGAGCTCCTGTCTCCCCAGGAGCCTCCTAGGCCTCTGGAGGAGGAGAACAGCAGCCCTGACTCAGGTAAGCCAAGCACCAGGCCCCCCGCTCCCCACCCCTCCGCCCCCACGTCCTGCCCGCCCCACTGTCCTGACCCCCCCAACAGGAAAGCAGCTGGTGCACTACACGGCACAGCCTCTGTTCCTCCTGGACCCGGGCTCTGTGGACACGGGGAGCAGCGACCTGCCCGTGCTGTTTGAGCTGGGGGACGGCTCCTACTTCTCAGAGGGGGACGACTACACAGATGACCCCACCATCTCCCTGCTGACAGGCTCTGAGCCCTCCAAAGCCAAGGATCCCACCGTCTCCTAGAGGCCCCAGGAGGAGCCAGACTGGCCCGTGGCCTGCCCTTTCCCGCCTCCCGCCCCCCCCCCAGTGCAGGGCTGGTCCTGGGGCGGCGGGGCAGGCACACAGTCCTAGGACGTAGTGGGTGGGCCACCACAGCCCCAGCTGGGGCAGAAAGGGGCTCGGGGCTGGGCGGTGCCTCCGGTCAGGAGTGAGGCTCCCCCAGGCCTGCCCACCTGCTGCCTTTGCCATGGCCCCAAGCACCATGTTTTCGTTGGAGCTTCACAGCCACACTTGGACTGACCCTGCAGGTTGTTCATAGTCAGAATTGTATTTTGGATTTTTACATGAGAGTCCCCCTTTTTCCTTCATAGAGATACAGATATATATACCCAGGTGGACAGACGGACGGACGGACAGAGACAGGCAGAGATCTATAAACAGACAGGCTCTCCACCGTGGCCTCCATGTGTTTCCTCTGCCTGGGGCGGTGAGGCGGAGGGGTGGGGGTGGCGGTGGGGTGCAGCAACGGAGGGCGCAGGACCCAGGTTCCAGAAAGTCTGGCTGTCAGGGCCTCCTGGGAGGAAGGCAGATGCCCAAAGGACCAGGGCTTGCTCACTGTCCTTTACTGAGAGACAGGGGAGGGTGGCCTGACCCTAGGAATCCCTGGTTGTCAGCAGGGCCCCTAGGGTGCTGCTTCCCAAGGGGTCTCCACCCAGGAACAGGGAGCACAGGTAGGCACAGTGCATCTTCCCAGGAGAGCCAGCCCCCTCTGCACCCACAAGGTGCTGGGCTGGCCTTGGGCAGGAGGAGACTGCTCCTGTCACTCCTGGGTTCCCACATTGCTTGGAGGAAGGAGGAGAAGGTGGTCTCACAGGCAGCCTCCTGGACCTGCCTCACCACCGTTTCTTGTCCTCCAGCAATGGCAGCTTGTTCTCAAGCTCCACTGGCTAGTGGGGGGGCAGGGGGCACAGGCCATGCAGTGTGAGGGAAGTCAGGCTAAGCAGTTCCTGACACCATGTCATCCTGGGAGTTCACTCACGACTCCCTGTCCTTGGGGCCCAGAGAGATGCTGCCTCCACTTGGGGGTCCACAGACCTTCACTGGGGGTACAGGGATGGCAGCCCCCCAGGTAACCTGCCCTTTCCCCACACCACCAGGGCAAGAGAGGAGGCGAGGACTGGGGATCATGCCAACTGCTGATAGGGCGGGGGCAGCACAGCCCAGAGAGAACTGCCTGCCCTCAGTGCCCGGGACAGCCCAGCTCGGCGCAGCCTCGTGGATTTGGTTCAGCCAGCCAGCCGCGGAGATGAAGCAGGAATAGGCACATGGGCTGTCCCCCACCTTCCTCTGCCACTAAGGAGGCTGCTGCTGTCCAATTCCACAGGTGGTAGGGCCACAGGGCTGTGCTGTCTGGACTGCCCAGCCAGTGCTAGGAGAGCTGAGTGGTGGAGAAGGGCCCGGGCGGGGGGCCACAGGCAAGCCCAACCTTTCTGGAGGGCAGCCCAGAACCACTGGCCTAAATCACTGCAGGGCCGGCCCGGGGGACCCAGGCCTTGAACCAGCAGCCCCTGGGAGATGCAGTCAGTGCACAGGGTGGGCTTACCCATGGACTGCTCTGGTGCAGGAGGGAGGCCCCCACCTCATCTAAGAGGCACAGAATCCCCCTCCCCTGGGGATGTGAACCCAGGCTCCAGCTGAAGGCAGTGAGGAGAAAGGCAGGCAGATACCTCTGCAGCCTCTGCCACAACCTCTCAGCCCCCAGACTCAGGCTGGAAGAGCCCTGGAGACCACCCTCTGGCCTCCAGCCCCATCCCAGGCCAAAGTCCACTCCAGGAAACCCTGGGTGCCTTCTTTCCAGGGCTGGGCATGGGGTCTGTGGAGCACTGAGCCCCCGCCCCACATGCAGGATTCATGGGGGCAACACCAGGACAGGAAGTCTGGCCTCAGCTGGGCTCCTCTAAGCAGTGGGGGTTGCAGGGTATGGGGAGACTGCCTGGCCAACCGCCCCCCTCCTGCCGCTATTGTGGGCCACTGCCTGCCTCTACTGGCCCTGCTCTGCCCCACCACGATCTAGCAGCCTCCCATACACCCCTGCGGGTCTGGGGTGCTGCAGCCATGTGTGCATGAGGTGGCTCCTGGCTGGGGCCAGAGGGAGCTGATGGGACCCAACCCCCCTCCTGAGAGCACCACAGCTCCCAGCCCCTTGGAGCAGCTGCCCCCAAAGCCCTGGCACGGCCCCATATGGGTGTGGCCATTCCTCCCACCAGGACCCACACCCCAACAGGCTGAAGGAAGTCACTTGGGACAGCACTTTATTACACCCTCACACTGCGGCAGGATCAGTAAAGACTCCCTAGCGCTGGCTCCTCCTGCCAGCATCGGCCTGTGTGTGGTCTGCTGTCTATATCCCCAAGGGGGGCAGGAGGAGCCCCATAGGGGCAGAGAGGCCTCCCAGGGCAGGAAGAGGCACCAGGTAGCCAGGGCCCCTCCAGCACTCTGGCCTGGCAGAAGAAGGCAGGCGGGCTCTGACCATGGGCAGTGAGGCAGCTGTGAAGAAGCCGGGCCCTCAGGGGCAGCTCAGGCCCCGGCTGTCGGAGCCTCGTAGTTGAGCACGTAGTAGTCATGGACATACATAAGCACTGCCATTGGCTGCCCGATGATGAGCGTCAGCCACATGGCTGCATTGCCATAGTTGCCCTGGAAGAAGCGGCTCACGATCCAGGCCAGTGGGATCTGGGGAAACAGTGGGGCCAACATCAGCTGGCCATGGCAGCCACAGGGCTGGTTGCTCCTGGGCCCCAGGGAACAGGGCTTGGCACGGGTCCAGGCAGGGGGAAGCGGTGGACATGGAGGCCGTGTGGGGGTCACTCACCTGAGCCATCATGCCTGTGAACGCCCAGAGGCGGAACATTCGCAGGGGGATGCTCACCAGGTACTGGGGTGGGGAGAAAAAAGACATCGGCCATCTCTGCCATGGGCCACACCCCTGCCCAGAGATGGAGCAAGACAACCTGCAGAACACTGACCTCGTGGAAGAAGGCCGAGGCTAGGAACACCCCCATCCTGGCCACAAACTTGCTGCTGCCCCGTCGCACCATGGGCTTGTAGAAGTGTCTGCAGGAGAAGGAGGCTGTGGGACGAGCCCAGGTCCACTCCCATGCCCCCACCCCATGTGCGACCCCCCCCAACCTGATGCACCACTTGTGCACAGGGATGTTCCAATTCTGCCAGAAGTAGGTGACAGACTCGGAGTTCCTAAGGGTTGGGAGACAACAGGGTGATCAGGGCACGATGTGGTCCACCCCAGCCCCCAGAGCCACCCCCAAGGCCACCCACCACCAGTCTCGATAGAACTCCCGGTCTCCAAACTGCATGAGCTCCGCCACGGCATTCAGGCAGGAGTGGAAGAGCCAGTAGAAGAAGATGAGCCAGATGAGGTGGTTGGGGACCTGCAGGAGGAGGGGCTTCAGGTTCCAGAACACCCCCACGTACCCTCATGCTCCACCCACCCCCCTGCCAACACTCACCGCCAGCTTCAGGAGGCGCTCGATGATGCGGGAGTAGTCCATATCCTGCAGAAACAGGCTCCCTCAGCAGCCGTGTCCCCGCCCGCCTACCCCAGCCACCGGAGGGCCTGAGCTGCTCACCTTGAAGGGCTTCATGGAGTTCTGGATGGTGGGGACCATCCACTGCAAAGAAGGTATATCATTGTCTCCCTGGCTGCGCTGAGCCCCACCCCCACCCATGCCCACCCCACATACCTGCTGGATCAGCCCCACCTGGAGCTGAGTGAAGAACAGCTGGGGAGGAACCAGACGGCAGCTGGCTGAGCCCCCTCCCAGCCACCAGCAGCTGCCCCAGTCCCTGCTGGTCCCCCAACCCCCCAACCTCACCATCTCAAGGAGCCGCCGCAGCAGAAAGCGCTTCCGGATGCGGGGGGAGCGGGGAAAGTTGAGCTCATAACACAAAGTGGGGGCAAGGAGGAAGTAGTATAGATCTAGAACAGGACAGACGGAGGCTGGCACCAGCCCAGGCCTGGCCCTGCCCCCCAACCCCCACCCATGGGGCCCAGCCCTCCACAGGGCCCTTACCGCGGTACGTCAGGTTGTCCGGGTAGCTCACAGTGTGAGCAGCAGCCCCACTGGCCTTTCTCCCTGCAGAGGGGACAAGCATCAGAGAGGGAGGGGAGGACGTGGCCAATTGCCATCCAGGCCCAGCCCCAGCCCACACAGCCCCTCACCAGCCCCAGCCTTGGCCTTGGCCCTGCGCTCACGGCACCACAGGTTGACGTCACGGTAGGAGATGAGCTTGAGGAACAGGACGGTGTAGGCCATCAGCGCCAGCATGGAGCCCACTGCAGAAGAGGCAGACTCAGCCACAGCCAGCCCAGGAGGGGATGAGATGGGGTGTGGTGGAGCAGGATGGGGCGGGGCGCACCTGGAGTGATGGACTCGACCAGGAAGGCCACGGCCGCCGGGAAGCAGAGAATGATGGCTAGGTTGACCACGTGCAGCAGCAGCCCCGCCTGCTCCGTTAAAGCACCCTGGGGGGCAGGGCAGAGAAGTCCACCAGGGCTCCCTCTCCCGGGGAGGGGGAAGCACCAAGGCTGGGCAGCAGCAACTCCCAGGAAAGCACACACGGCCCTGGCCAGCTGGGGCAAGACCAGGGGCTATGGCAGGGAGGCGTGGACCCTCTTACCACTGCCAGACGCTTCTCGACCTGGAACGCAGCCACAGCAAAGGCGTTGGCCACTGAAGGACAGAGCATCACAGGCAGGTTCAGGGCCAGGTAAGTCTGGCCCCCACCCAAGGTTCTCCTTGAGCCCAGCTCACCAATAACCAGGCATGGGGCAGGCCAGCTGTAGGGGTCCTTCAGGAACAGAGACAACACCTGGATGGGGTCTACCAGGATGCCATACCTGCAAGTGGGGTATGGGGGCCTGAGTGGGCGGCCAGGGGGGCCCAGCCTGGGGGCAGGGTAGGACCAGGCCCCAGTGAAGGTACTCACTTGATGAGGTTCTCCAAAAATAACCGTGCATTGCTCAAGATCTGCAAAAAACAGGACAGTGCAGCCCTGTTAGTCCTGGCCACAAGGCACCCCCAACCTCAGCTTCTCTCAGCACCTCTGGGGGCAGAAGCCCTAGGTCAGGCAGCAGCCTCCCAGCTATCTGGTCTCCACGCCAAGCTCGGAGACTCAACACCCACCTCCTGCCACACCAGTGCGGGGGCAAAGAGAAGCGTTCATTCTCCACATCGCACCAACAGAAGGGTCTGTGTGGGGGACCCGGCCCCACTGCCAGCACCTCCCAGACGCCTGCCCCTCCGCAGCAGACACAGGTGGCTCAGCAACCCTCAGCCCTCCCTCTGAACTGAGCTGTTGAAGAACCCCAGGCTCGCCCCATAGACAGCCACCACCACCGTGCTGGCCCCAAGGCCCAAGCCTGCCTGCAGAAGCTGCCCTCCAATGAGCCCCAGGGGATCAGTCCCTACTGGTGGTCCAGGCTGAAGCGGGGGGCTGCCCACCCTAGTCCAGAGCCCCACCTTGCCAGCCAGGCCAGTCCCTGCAGTGCCCAGCTGTATGGCTAGAGGCTGGAGCAGGGGAGTGTGGGCCCTGGGGGTGGCAGAGTTGCGAGGAACTGGGGTTCGGGAGTGGCTGGGCCTGGAGTGCTTCAGTGGCCCATGCCCCTCCTTGCCTCAGCCACTTTCTGTGGCACTCCAAGCCCTGGGTGCTTGGCCCCAAAGCAGCTTCCAAGGACTGAGCCCCCATCAAAACAGGATCCTGACTCTGGCCTGGGCTGGGGGCTTGACCTCCCTTCACAAGCACAGGAACCTCCTCATCCATCTCAAAAGCACCTGCAGCCCCTCTGTGAGCCAGGCCCTGATGCCAGAGACCTGGCCAACCGCCCCATGCAGTGGTGGTGACAGGTGCCGTGGAGCAGCCATGCCGTCAAAGGAACACTGGTGGGGTCCCCTGCCTAGGTGTTCAGGGAAGGCATCATGGAAAACAAGCTCAGAGACACAGAAGCCACTGCCTTGCCTCCCCCAGCTGCAGCTGATCTGCCAACCTCCTGCCCAGACACACAGTGCCCACACCATCACCTGCACAGTGTGGCCTCCACTGAGAGCCCACAGCAGGCAAGAGCCAGAGCTGCTGAGGGGCAGTGCCCACCTCGAGGCCCAGGCTGGAGGGAATGCAGCAGGCATCTGGAGCCCAGGACCCTTGTCTCTCAGCAGGAGGGGATGGCAGAGGGGGCAAAAACAGGGGAAAGGCTTTAGGGCTGTGCCAAAGGGCCAGGCAGACCCAAAGGGTCGCAGGAGAACAGATAGTGCTGCCCAGGGTGGCCAAGCACCTTCAGAGTGGCAGCTTCTTCACAGACCCAGCCTGGGCCAGGAATGGGATATGTCACCTTCTGGAGGCTGGGCTGGTGTTAGGCCCACTGTCCCCTGCATGACCAGCTTCTCACCATCAGGCCTTGTGGCCCCCCATAGCTGACCAAGGCCCAAGGCTCTCTCAAGGCCAACAATGCTGCAAACCTTGGCCTCCCCTCAGTAACCTCCCAGGATGTTGGATAGGGGGTTGTGTGGAGCCCCTTCCACATGGATTTCCACATGGATAGCCACAGAAGCCATGTCCAAGAGTAGAGGCGAACACGTCTGGGTGAGGGTCAAGGGTCTGGTGCCACACCGTGTCAGTCCTGAGCAGTGGGGGCTGGGCCCAGACGAGCCCTTGCTCCCTGACCCTCCCTGAGGCCTGCCCCTTTGAGCCCTGGACTCCAACTGCTTCTGGGATGAGGGTGCTGGCCCTACCCCACAGAGTGCCAGCAGTAAACAGGCCTCAGAGGCAGCAGGCCTGGACACAGCACAGAGCTCCATCCAATCTCCTTCCTGGGGGGTCCTAGGACCTGAGGCAAGGTAGAGGAACCAGGAGGTCTGTAGAGCAGAGACCAGGCCTGCCAGGAGCTCCACGCTCATGAGGGCCAAGCAGTACAGCACGAGGAAGCTCTTCCTGAATCCCAAGCCCTCTCATGCACACAGAGCACCTGTACACAGTCCCATGACCCCATCAGCCTGGGCGGGCCCCCCAGCCTTCCTCTCCTCCGTGCTCTCCCATGGGAGAACCCTGAGCCCCACGCCCCTCAGGCACAGCTCACAACACACAGGCCTCGAGCCACATACACTGCTAAGCACCCCCACTCCCCACGCTACCATTTGTAGGGCTCTCCTGGGATCCAACAGAGGCAAGCTTCAAGTGTGTGGCCCACAGGAGCCCTATGCAGCCACCGTAGGGACCACCACTGCGCCCTTCCTTCCTATCAGCCCATGCCAGTAGCTACATGAAGATGAGGCTCCTCAGGGCAACTGCGGAGTGCTCCGCACCCCAGGCCCACACCCTGGGGGCAGAGCGGTGCCTGAGTGAAGGCTGCAGGTAGACCCACTCCCAGACACTGTGCTACTCACCAGCATCACCACACACCAATTCAGAATGCCACGGTAGTTGCTGAAGCCACTGTTGGAGCTGAACAAAGAATCCTGCAGGCGATGGCAGCTGGCAGAGCAGGAGATGGGCACCTGGTGAGCGGACACCAGCAGTGCAGGCCCTTCACTCTGGGCTGGCAGCTGGGATCCTGCTCCCACCCACCCGTCTCTGCCACATGCCCTGCTTCCCATTTCCAGATGGGAGAAGGAGCTAGGTGGGGCTACATCCACAGCCAAAAGGCCTACAGTGGACAGAACTCTCAGGACTACCCACAGGCCTGACCCCCTAAGCAGCAGGAAAGGGCATGTCACAAGCAGGAGGAGAGGAGGAGCAAGCTCAATGTCCCTGTCTGGCCCGGCCTAAGTGGGGCTTGAGCACTGCAGGCCCGAGCCCAGCTTCCCTCCCCAGAGACCAATGCTGCTACCGTACACTCCAGCTGTGGACTGGCACTGAGGCAATGGGAAGAGTCGACTCAGGGATCTGTAGGCCCACCCAGCACTGCTGAGAAAGAGGGGTAGGGGTCGAGTCCACCCTGCTCAGTCGCCACATCAGTCACCTGGTGAGCCAAGGGGTCCCCACCACAGCCCAGAAGAGCTTCCTCCCCACACTTGGCCCTGTAGGCCTGAGTGGGTGTAAGGACTGAGGCCAAGGGCCAACCAAGCACCCAGCCTGACATGCACCTTCCTGGAGCAGGGACCCAGCCTTCATGTGCTGTGTGGCCTCCACTGGTTTTAAAAAAATTATAGTCTGTCCCACCTCAACTATAGGGTAAGTGCTGTGCTCCTGCCTGGGATGAGGGGGCAGAGGAGCCCACCTGAGGGCCAGGCACCTGATGGCGAGGAAGCCTCCAGCAGAAGCAGGTGACCACCTGTGAGCTCCCACCAAGTGCTGGGGTGGGGACCGTACAAGCAGAACCTGCTTGGTCCTCAAGGTAACACAAAGGTGGAAGAGGGGCACCTGGCCCAGCGGAAAGACTACTGTGTGGCTAAGACAAAGCCCAGACCCAGCCCCTGGCAAGGACAACAGGAGTAAAGCCAGACCCCACGCATCCCAGGAACCAGCACCCCGGCTCACTCACAGCAGCCACGGCCCCGCCTCACCCGCAGCTGCCAGGCTACCAGGAAGCCCCAGACAGCATTAAGCAAGGCCTCAGTTTTGTCAGAGGAGAGGCCAGGGCAGGAGAGTAGCCCCTTTCCTCCCGCCTGCATACATCTCCACCTTAGGGCACCCAGGCAGGGGAGTAACCTGCGAGCACCAAGGCACAGATGCACTCTAAGGGCTGACCTTGCCTCAGTGCCCAGAGGCAAGCCTGACTCTGTTAGGGACAGCAGGCAGACAGCACCACCTGGGAGGTGAGGGGCAATGCCAACAGGCCCGACCTTTGCCCCCAAGGCCAAAGTCTGCATGACACCTGGCCCCATCCACACTAGCCCCGGGCACCCCCAGGCTGGTGGGAGGAGGGTGGTCACACTGCTACCTCTGCTCATGTCAGGCTGGAGCACAAGGGTGGGGCAGCTCCACCCCAGCCCCTGCTGTTGTCCACCCGCCTCTCCCAGCCTTGGGCCTGGGCTTTGTGTATCTACCCACCACACCCACCTTGGGCCACACAGTGAGGCTGTGGTCTCCACCTGAGCCCCTCTTCTTCCCAGGTCTGCACCTGCCTTTGCAACTGACCATTGCCCTTGGCACAGCTCCCCAATACTCCCCCCGCCACCACCCACCTTCCCCCAGAACCCCAGCTCCAATGATGCAAGCAGGCAGACAAGGCCCAGCTCCCCAGGGAGGATGGATTCTCTGGGCAGCTTCACCATTGCCTCCTCTCCCCCAAGGTCAAGCCCATTCACTTTCACCAGAACCACCCCAAAGCCTTCTGGTTGGCCTCCTTGTGCCACACCTACCAAATCCCATGCTCACATCACCGTGGCTGTTTCACAAGTGTGACCCCTGCCCCCTTCGGGCCACCAAGGAGACCATGCTGGATTTACCTGTGGCCATCTCAAAGATGGAAACAGGAATAGAGAAAGGGTGTTGCTTTCCAAAGCTTATGAAAACTTTTTCAGCCCTCCCATCAGGTCCCTACTCAGGACTCCTGGCCAGGCCTGGCCCCAGGCACTGCCCCACCATGCTGCCTCAGCCCATGCTGCCCACACTCCAAGTCAGAGATCCCTGACCTGTGAGAGGAAGCCCCAGGCCACCAATGCCCACAGAGGTCCAGGCTCACCAGCACGGTCACAGTGAGTGGGCCAGAGGGCAGCCCCCAGTGATGAGCGTAAAGGGGAAGCGGGATCTGGCCAGCTGTGTCTACAGCTGTCTTTATTACCCTCTCACCTACTGGAGGACCTGCCCATGCCTCTGTGCCTCCCAGCTTCCTACACCCACTCCCCAGGCTAAGAGGACAGGAAGCAGCCCCTTCCCCCACCAGCAGCCCCCAGGCCCACTCAGCCAGCAAGACCCTCTCACCGAACCCCACTTCAGTACTGAGAGGTGGGCACACACCCAGCCCCATGGTGCATGTGCCAAGGTTTCAAGCATGCCCAAAGGCACAGCCCCAAGTGTGGATTTTGGACACGCCTGGGGATCACATGGTGCAGCTCCAAAGCCAAGCAGAGCGAGGGGTGGACAGAGCACCAGTTCCACTCCCAGCTGTCACCTCCTCAGCACTTCCTCTGGGCCGAGCTCTGCAGTGCAAGACAGTTGGGGCAGGCTCCCCACACCTTTCAGACCTTGCTGGAGAGGTAGAAGGTGAGACACAGAGGACACCCTAGGGACAAACACTCTAGGAGAACTCCAAAACCAGAAGGCCCTGCCTGGGGTGCCCATGAACTAAAGGCCGGCTGGAGAGTGCAGGGCCCAGAAGGGTGGGCAGCAGGAAGGAGTGCCCCCTCCTCCTGCCTCAGAGCCTCACCTGGCCACGGGGAGGAAGTGAGCTTACACCCAGAGCCCAGCCCAAGATGAGCAGGAAATGTCAGGGAGAGGAAGAGGCCCAGAGCTCATGGAGTGATGAGGAAGGGGAAAGGAAAGGCTGGGCTGGGCCAAGAGCAGGGACAAGCAGGGACAAGCAGGGAGAAGGGGAGGCAGGTGAGAGGATGACAAATGGGTGGGCTAAAATCCAAGTCCCAGGAGGGCAATCGGAGCCAGGCCCAGCCTGCCAGCTCCCCCAACCAGTGGGTCTGAACCCTGCTGCATCCTCCAGTATGAGACATGAGCACACAGCCTGCAGGTCCTGGAGACCCAGTAGCAGAACAAGCAGCCAGCTCTCCGGCTGGCCAGGAAAGGCCCCATCCCTGCCCTCTATTGCTCCTCTTCCCAAGGAGACCAGACCTGGACAGCAAAGACAGGAACCCACCCAGCTTCTCCTACTAGCCTTGTGCCCATCCCACACCAGCAGGGGTACAGAGAAGGTTTGTGGGCCAGTGCACAGCAGCAAAGTGACTGTTTCAGGGTGGCAGCTTGGCCCCATCTCACAAAGGACCCCAATTCCCACCCTCTCTGAAGGTCATGCTAGCTATCCCCCTGCCTCCTGTAAAGAAGGGTAACTCCAGGACCATCATCTCCTTTTCAGGCAGGAGGTGCCTGGGCCAGCCTCACTCAGCACCTCCCCAGGCCCATGGAAAGCAAGCACCCCTCTCAGGAGGGCCCCTCCTCCCCCACAGTGCCTTCATGGCCTCCTTGCCTGACCTTTGTCCACACTGCCACATTCCCGCCTCACACTGAAGTAATCTTATCTCCCAGGTGAACTGTGAGCACTCCAAGAGCCGGGCTGGTGCCTGCACTCCAGCTGCCCACGGCGCCCAGTGAAGAAAGCCTCAGTTCTTGTTTACTGAGAGCAAATCCTTGCCAACCAATAGACCAACTTCTGACTTCCTCCTGGATGACCTCTTGCCCCTCAGCTGCTCCTTAAGCCAGAGCCCCTGAGGACTCCTGGACCAGGGTGAAGGCCAGAAAGCAGAGCTGGAGAGTGGCAAACAGATAGCTGAGGGACTGCCAGGAGGGAGCCAATGCCCACGCAGGCCAGGTCCTTCCTGTCAGCCTCGGTTCACTCCTCACCCCTTTCTGACAGTCAGCTAAAGAGCACATCCACCTACCTGTATGTGTGTCCACCTCAAACCCCTCTCCCATACCCCAGCCAGAGAATGAAAGTCCCAATACAGACCCAACTCTCTGTCCCTACAGCATGCATCCGTTCTGGTAATATAAGAAAGGCTGCAGAGGACCGGCCCGTGGCTCACTTGGGAGAGTGTGGTGCTGACAACACCAAGTCAAGGGTTAAGATTCCCTTACCCGGGCCGGCCCGGTGGCGCACTGGAGAGTGCGCCGCTTGGGAGCGCGGCGGCGCTCCCGCCAAGGGTTCGGATCCCATGTGGAGACCGGTTCCCGCTCACTGGCTGAGCGCGGTGCAGGCGCAACACCGAGGGTTGCGATCCCGTTGCCGGTCAGTAAAAAAGACAAAAAGGAAAAGAAAAAAAAAAGATCCCCTTACCCGTCAGCTTTAAAAAAAAAAGAGAGAAAGAGAAAGGCCCCAGGCCAGCCTGACCACTGGCCAGGGATGGAGAAGCCAGGCAGCCTCTCTCAGGAGGTTCTGCAAGGACCAGAAAGCCTGCACTGCCCCTTTGCCCTGGGTGGACACCCACTCCCCTGTCTCATGCCCAGGCTCCTGCGGGCCCCCCCACCCCCAACCCTCCCTTCCCCCAGGGCATCCCTCATAACCCTCAGGAGAGACCCGTCATCACAAAGCCCCCGATCCCATCTTCCTTCTTCCAGGGCCAGGACCCAGCAGCCTGCCCAGCTGCCCTGCTGCCAGCTCGCTCCCTGTAAGGGCCCTCAGGAGCCACAGAGAATGCACAGACCCAGGAGGGTCTGCAAGCGGGGTTGCTGCCGCCGGCTCCGCTCTGCTGGCCAGGGAGGCCAGCTCCACGCACCCACCTGGGTGACCTTGGCAGGTGACCTCCTGCTCTAAGCCTCAGTTTCCCCGACGGGCCCGTGGGCACGCCGTTCCCCGCTAGCCGGGGGCCAGGTTCTTGGACTCGGAGCGCGCTGCTGGGGCCACTCCGAGGGAAAGCCGGAGGTTAGGGGTCAGAGGTCAGGGGTCTGGCGCTCCGCTACCTCAGCTCGCAGGGACCGCTGCCTGCGCTGGCGTCTTCGTCCTTGTCCGAGGCCGGGGCCGCGG